GGGATCTCCAGTGGCCTACTAATGGGCTTTGGGTCTCCACTCCGCACTCCCCCCATCATTCACTATGGTAAAATTTTTTGTTCTGATGGTGCCTTACACCTGATCCCTTCGACACCTCCTGGTTGCATAGGCTGATGTGCTTCTTCCATGTGGGCTTTGTTGCTTCTGAGCTTGATGGCCGCTTGATTACCTTCAAGCATTTTCAAAAGACACACACTTTTCTATTTTCTTTTGGACTGAGGTTTTTCTCTATTTTATTTTGTTCTTGTTACCAGGGTTGGGTATGAAATCCAGCCTAGGTAAAGCTCTTCAGACAGGAACTGGATTGAGGGTTTCTGAGAGCAGGGGTGCAGGGACTTGGGGGGAAATGGAGAGGGGATAACTGAGGACAAGAAGGAAGAAAATGCTCTCAAATGGCCATGATCGTACAGCCCATCTTGACCTGCTTGAACTGTGCAATTGAATGATGTGTGGACCATGCGCCAGTAAGACTGAAAGACGCAGACCCACCCAGCTAGAGACCCACCCTGCTAGAGACCCACCCAGACAAGCTCAGGGAAAGGAAAGACAACAGGAGACAGAGCCGCTCCGACGACGTGCCCTATCAGGTCACAGAGCCCTTAAGCCAGAGAGGAGCCAGATGGTCTTGGCTCCCCGGGCGCCCCATCCCACGGGGATGAACATGTGGGCTCAGGATACAGAGGATCATAGGAGGGAAGCAGAGACGCCCGGAGCGAGTGAGCAGTCGGGCCATGACCTGGCAGTGGGTGCAGGGAGCTGTGCACTGACTTGCAGGGAGGGCTACTGCATCCACGAGGCGCTGAGCAGTCAGTTCAACTGTGCATCGCGTGATGCAAACGCTGACCTGACCTGCACAGAGCACTCTGGGACTACCAGTGGATCAGGACGTCAGAGGAGAAACCTCAAACCCCTTCACGGTGCAGATAAAAGCACAGCGTCCGAACGGCAGGGGTGAGGCCCAGAGGATCCTCAGGGGGAAGGGGTGAGCAGGCCATGCCCCAAGGACTCAAAGCCCAGAGCCCCCACCCAGTCTGTTCTGACGCACAGCAACCCCGCAGGACAGAGTGAGCAGCTGCGGCGAGTGTCCAAGGCTGTCCGTGTGGATGGAAGCACCAAACTCACTTGTCCCTCGGAGCAGCTGGTGGACTTGAGCTACTGACCTTGCAGTTAGTGGCCTGATAGATAACTCACGGTGGTTGTGACATCCGCGGTGTCCACTTGTGGAGGGGTGGAGTCTAGCCTGTCAGTGAGGTCGTAGCTTGATGACCTCCTTTGGAGGCGCCACAGAGATAAATAGCTCGTGGAGGCCAGACACAGACAGACTCTACTGACTCCCTTTGAGACATCCCTGCTGACAAGACACAGGAGCTGCCCTAGAGCCTGGAGCTGGAGGAGCCACGCGGAGACCCCTGCCACGGAGAGGCTTCCACCGCCACTGGACCCACAGACTTTCCACCCACTGGCCTGTGATCGTCCCGCATTCGGCATCATTGCATGTGTTTCGTGAGTCTAAAGAGGAATTTATAGATTGGTGTGGGACCTATGGGCTAATATCGCACTTATGGACTTGATCTGAACTGGGCTGGGATGTTTTCTTAATGTACAATTGCTCTTTGATGTAAAGTTCTCTCTTACACACATGTGAGTGTTCCTGGGTTTGTTTCTGTAGTCTACTCACCCGGGCGAACACGCTCACCATGCCACCAGGGCCCTACATAAATAGGGGGAAGAGGAGACAGAAAAGGAGGAGGAAGGGGAGGGGAGGAGGAGGAAGGGGAGGGGGTCAAGAGAAGGAGAAGGAAAACAGCAAAGAAGCTAAGGTGAACCAGGAAAAGGAGCTCGGAGCACAGATACATAACACTGGAGCAGAAAGGCGGCAGAATCCATGCAACAAGAAGTTGCTTCTTTGAAGAGATCAGTCACACCGACACGTCTTGCACTAGGACCGAGAGAGACGATGCACATTAACCGACACAACGAAAGAAACAGGGCCCCGTAGAACTGACCCACGAGGGAAGATCACAAGGTGTCGATGGGATCAGGTATCAAAACCCAGAACAAACAATCATGTCATTGTGAAGGAGGGGGAGTGGGGGTGGAGACCCAAAGCCCATCTCTAGGCAACTGGACATCCCCTTACAGAAGGGTCACGGTGAAGGGTGCAGTGTAGCAACAATGAAACATACAACTTTCCTTTAGTTCTTTAATGCTTCCTCCCCCCACTATCCTGATCCCAATTCTACCTCACAAATCCAGCTAGACCAGAGCATGTTCACAGGTACAGATAAGAGCTCAAAACATGGGAGGGGGGAGTGGAGAGGGAGGGGGGAAAATGAGCTGATGCCAGGGGCTTAAGTGGAGAGCAAATGTTTTGAGAATGATGAGGGCCATGAATGTACAAATGTGCTTTACACAATTGATGTGTGTATGGATTGTGATAAGAGTTGTATGAGCCCTTAATAAAATGATTTTTTTTAAAAGCTCAAAACACAGGGAATCCATTCAGACAAACCTCTTAGGACTAACAACGATACCAGGAGGGTAGGGGGAAGGTGGGGGGGAGAAAGGGGGAACCGATCGCAATGATTGACATATAACATCCCCCTCCCTAAGGGGGATAAATAACAGAAAAGGGGGTGAAGGGGGACAGTGGTCGGTGTAAGACATGAAAAAACCCGTAATAATTTATAAATTATCAAGGGTTCGTGATGGAGGGAGGGAGGGAGGGGGTAATGAGCTGATACCAAGGGCTCAAGTAGAAAGAAAATGTTTTGAAAATGATGATGGCAACATGTGGACACGTGCTGGACACAGTGGACGTATGTGTGGATTATGGTATGAGCCTCCAATAAAATGATTTTTTTTTAAAAACCAAAAGAACTGACCCACAAGAAAGAGAGAGGCTGAGTCAAGTCCACAGTCAACAGAGAGCCCTGGCATCGGTGACAGAAAGCACAAACTGCTAAAGGCACCGCAAATAGATAGGAACGCTTTAGTTCATCACAAGACTTCATCAGAGAGAGAGAATAAAGCCAAGCTACCGACGGGAGCCTATCTTTGGAAACTGCATATCTGGCCGGCAATCAATAACCGAAGAGTCTATCAAACTCTGACAACTGAACAACAAAAAGACAGCTCGCCCCGTCACACACGGGCAAGGGCTTGAGCAGACACCCCACCAAGGATGGCGTTCCCAGACCCCCAAACGCAGGACAAGAGGCCCAACACCATCAGCCCGCGGGCCGAACCACCGTGTGAGAGAGGTTTCCGTGGCGCCGGGCAGGCTCGGTCAGGACAAGGCAGAGCAGACCCAGTGGCAATTGGGTGACCAGAAGGCAAAGATTCAAGGATGGCAGAACCGGGAAACGGTCATGAGCAAGAAGGAGCCCTTATCCACGGCGAATGCTGGACCGGCCATGGTGGGAACGGGGTGGTCCCCAGCAAGCAAACTCCAGAACGGCCGGCCCACCGTGGGGTGACCTGGGCTCCTAACAGCCCCGGAGGACACGGGACAACGGCTGTAAATCCACGTCTTCCTCCACGGAACAGCTGACCTCTGGGGCAGCGCCCTGAAGGCGAACAAGAGGTTAGCTCCAAAGTGAAGAGTATCTCTTTATTATTATTGAAAGATCATTCTGGGGGGCCTTACAACTCTTACAACGATCCATGCATCAGTTGTATCAGCGTGTTTGTACATGTGTTGCCACCATTCTTTGCTAGACATTTACCTTCTACATGAGCCCTTGGGATCAGCTCCCCTTTCCCCCTCCCTCCCCCTTGATAAATGATTATTATTTTCATATTTCACACCGACCGCTGCCTCCCTTCCCCCATTGTTTCTGTTGTTCGTCCCCTGGAGGGGGTGTGTGTGTGTGTTTATGTGTTGATCATTGCAGTCAGTTCCCCCAATCCCCTCCTCTTCCCTCTTCCCTTTCCCCTCCTGGGATTGCTATTACCATTCCTGTTTCTGGGTTCCGTGAATAAAGAGTACCTTACCTGCCTTCGTGCGCATGCGGAGGACAGGAGACCGCATTGTCCCGCTCGGTGGTCGTAATGGCCTCTGTGGGATCTCGGGTGGTGCGGCTGCTGCCCTTCAGGAGGTCTGCATCCAGATAAAGCCTCAGGCATCTCGTCCCCCAGGTCAGCCATGGAGAACTCCGGGAGGGGCGTCTATGAGACACCCCCATGTGGTCTGCAGTGAGAAGGGATCCACAGTGCCGTGTGGGTGCGACGTTATTGGGAGAAGAAGACCAGACGGAGAGTGTGAGTGGAGGGAACAAAAGGAAGTGAGAAAGCCGTCCGCGGTGTCCACTTGTGGAGGGGTGGAGTCTAGCCTGTCAGTGAGGTCGTAGCTTGATGACCTCCTTTGGAGGCGCCACAGAGATAAATAGCT